TAATAAACTCTCCTGGAGAACCAGAAATTGATAACCAATTAAACATCCCACAACAAGAAGACACTGGTATGAGAATTCCGTGATGTGTTCAGGGAGGTATCAGGTTTAGCTAAAGGTGTCCACCACCAAATCTTAACACCGCCGGGACAGGTAATACGTAAATCACTGGAGAAGGCTACCTCATCACCTCTGGCCAGCAGTAAAACAAGAGATCGACCAAATGAGGAAACTGGGAATCATTGAGGAGTCTAGAAGTCCATTGAGAAGTCCGACGGTGGAACCAAAAACAGATGGTTCGATATGCTTATGCATGGACTACCACAAGATTAATGAAATCACTATATTTGATGCCTTTCCAATGTCTCAAGTGGATGACATGCTGGAGAAAATTGGTCATGCCCAATATATATGGACGCCTTGGGTCCACCACGATCCACTGGCTGGAAAATTGGCTCAATGGTCGGACCCAGAGGGTAGTAATTGATGGAAATCACTCATCATGGTGTCCTGTGACCAGTGGGGTCCCCCAAGGCTCTGTCCTTGGACCCATACTGTTCAACATCTTCATTAATGATGTGGACACTGGAGTCAGAAGCAGACTGGCCAAGTTCGCCGATGACACCAAACTTTGGGGCAAAGCATCCACACCAGAAGACAGGCAGGTGATCCAGACTGACCTGGACAGGCTCAGCAAGTGGGCGGATGAGAATCTGATGGTGTTCAACGCCGATATGAACATGAGCCTGCAATGCGATGCTGCAGCTAGTAAAGCGACCAAAACGCTGGCTTGCATCCATAGATGCTTCTCAAGCAAATCCTGGGACGTCATTCTCCCCTTGTACTCGGCCTTGGTGAGGCCGCAGCTGGAGTACTGCGTCCAGTTTTGGGCTCCACAATTCAAAAAGCATGTGGAGAAGCCTGAGAGAGTCCAGAGAAGAGCCACGCGCATGATCAGAGGTCAGAGAAGCAGACCCTATGATGACAGGCTGAGAGCCCTGGGGCTCTTTAGCCTGGAAAAGCACAGGCTCAGGGGTGATCTGATGGCCACCTATAAGTTTATCAGGGGTGACCACCAGTATCTGGGGGAACGTTTGTTCACCAGAGCGCCCCAAGGGATGACGACTAGGTTGAATGGTCATAAACTACTACAAGACCGTTTCAGGCTGGATATAAGGAAGAATTTCTTTACTGTCCGAGCCCCCAAGGTCTGGAACAGCCTGCACCGGAGGTGGTTCAAGCGCCTACATTGAACACCTTCAAGAGTAAACTGGATGCTTATCTTGCTGGGACCCTATGACCCCAGCTGACTTCCTGCCATTGGGCAGGGGGCTGGACTTGATGATCTTCCGAGGTCCCTTCCAGCCCTAATGTCTATGAAATATATCCACCTTGGACCTGACCAAGGGTTACTGGTAGATTCCTATGGCAGTTGCTGATAAAGAAAAGATGGCCTTTGGCACTCCATGGGGCCTGTTCCAATTTAAGCGAAAGCCATTTGAGATCCACAGGGCAGCTGCGTCCTTGCAGCAGTTGATGGAACAGGTATTAGCACCACATTAGGGGTATGGCACAGCATACATTGATGATATCATCATTTTCTCACAAGACTGGGAAACACACCGTTAACACCTACATCAGGTACTGAAGGAACTGAGACAGACAGGGCTCAAGGCCAATCCCAGGAAGTGCGCATTCGGGAAGAGGGAGATTCAGTACCTTGGGTTCCTAGGTGGCCGGGGCATCATAAAACTGCTTGGCAGACAAAGTGGTGGCTATACAACAACATCCTTTGCCAAAGACACTCAAACAACTACGATCCTTCCTGGGGTTCGCCAATTACTATCTATGTTTTATACCAGGATTCTCAGAAAAGCCGGCTCCTTTAACAGAATTAACCAAAGGTCATCGAAACCCAGTGCAACGGAACCCAAGAGCACTCCACGCCTTTGAGCAAGTAAAAACCGCTCTGTGCCAACACCCAGTATTGTACAATCCAGATTTTCAGAAGACGTGTTACTTACAGACGGATGCCTCAGGAATAGCACTGGGGACAATCCCCTTTCAAAAAGACAAGGGTGAGGAAAGACCCATAGCTTTTGCCAGTAAAAAAATTAAACCCCGCAGAAACTCGCTACTCTACAATTGAGCGAGAATGTTTAGCTAACTGGTGGGGAATAGAATTGTTCCGTTGTTATCTCCTCGGGAGGGAATTTGTGTTGATAACTGACCACGCACCCCTTCGCTGGTTAAGGACAGCAAAGCTAGATAATGCTAGGCTAATGAGGTGGTCCCTAGCCTTACAACCGTTTTATTTTACAGTAAGACATCGTGCAGGGAGACGGAGCGGGAACGTCGACTTTCTCTGTCACCCAGACAGTGAACAAGGCTTACCTGTCAGAAGGTGAACGAAGATACCAGCTTTAGAAGAACTCTTTAGTTTCTTGTCTATTTCTTCCTAGTTGTTTTTTTTTTTTCTCGGTTGCAATGGGGGGTTGTTTCTGGATGAGGGGGACTACTGAACTTAGGGGGGAGGTGTGTAACAGGGACTCAGGCAGGAGCCTTGTTACTTAGACAGTCGGGCAGGATTGTCCCGACAATGAACCCTGTCAGGTGGCGGACATCATGCACCCAGGAAAAGTGCGGGTGATTAGCCCATGAAAACCGGGGGATAAAAGACAGCAGCGGGGCACTGATTTTTGCCTCTGGGCACCAGAAGACAAAGAAGAAAACCACAGGCACTCCGGAAGGTGAAGGAAAGATCATACCTGTAATCTTGGAGGACGCTGAAAGAGACAGACTTCAAGAGAGGCGGCAGGTCAGTAAGAAAAAGGAAAATACTTCTTTGCAAACCCCGCTGTATGGGTGAGTGCGGGAGCATTGCAGGACACCTGGAGACAGGTGCCTTAAGCCGAGGGGGAGAAAAGGAATCACCTCGGGGAAGACCCACTGGCTCGGACAACTGCAGGACAACCCTTGTCATAGGTCAATAGATAACTGGCTCAACAGCCACAAGCAAAGGGTAATTATAAATGGATTCAGTTCAGAATGGCAGGAAGTTTCAAATGCAGTTCAACATGTTCATTAATGATTTGGATGCTTGCATAGAAAGCTTCTTGAGCAAGTTTGTACAGGACATGAAACTGGGAAGGATTGCGAACACATTGGAGGATGCAAGAACAATTCAGAAGAATCTCAACAGATTGGAAAATTGGGCTAGTGCTAACAGGATGAAGCTCAGTGTGGACAAATGCAAGGTGCTACTCCTCGGGAGGAATAATCACAAACACAAATATAAAATGGGTGACACCTGGTTGGATGGCAGCACTATGGAAAAGGACTTAGAAATCTTGTAGATGAAAGACTCAATATGAGTCTGCAGTGTGATACAGCAGCACAAAAGGCCAATGCAGGTTTGGGATTCATCAATAGAAACATTAGATGCAAGACATGGGAGGTGCTGGCATCTCTCTATTCAGTGCTAGTAAGGCCTCATCTGGAGTAGTGTGTGCAGTTCTAGGTTCCATATGTTATAAAGAGCGTGGAGAAGTTAGAGAGAGTCCAGAGGCAGGCAACAAAGATGACAAATGGCTTAGAGAGCAAGTCAGATGAGGAGAGGCTGAAGTAGCTAGGCATGTTCAGCTTGCAGAAAAGACGCTTAAGAGGGGATATGACAGCAGTCTTCAAATACCGAAAGAACTGCCATAAAGAAGAGGGAAAACTCCTTTTCTCTCTTGCTGCAGAGGAGGATGCAGACCCATGGACCGAAGTTGTAGCAAAGGAAGTTTAGATTGGATATCAGGAAAAACTTCTCTACTGTTAGAAGTTAGTGAGGCAGAGGAATAGATTGTGTAGGAAAGTTGTGGATTCTCCGTCACTGGAGGTGCTGAAGAAGAGGTTGGACAGCCACTGATCAGGGATGATCCAGGCCAGAAGCAGGCAATTATTTGGGCCCGAGGGCCATATAGGGAGGGAGGAAAGCGGGGAGGGGAGGTGGGGGGAAGCCCTGTTTCGAGATGGAGGCAGGTGTGGGGAAAAAACCCCTGCACTGGAGGCTATAGGAGGTGGTGGCGGAGGGAGTCTTTACATGGCCAGACCCAAAGGGTGAACAGGAAGCGTGAGGGGACCACGTAAACACTCCCTGAAATCCGCCATTCTTGATGGGCAATTAGCTAATAAGATAACAACAGTCCTCAATTTTCTACCACACCTGAGCCAAAAAAAAAAAAAAAAGCAATGGTTAAAAGTATTGGCAGAGACCCAACACACACATTACATGTAGCAAGACTCAGAGAGCAAGCCAGAAAGCCAAGTGGAACTAGAAGTTATGAGATGCAGGAATACAGGGAGATAGTACAGTCTGGGTTACACAGGTCTAGAGACTAGAATCAGAAATAGTCACTTGTGGCCTTATGATATAGCAGCTACCTGCTTCCCCACTGCCCTTGTATGCAATTTTAAGATGAACTCCACTCCTTAAATTAGCTATAAGAGGACCGATCAGAGACACGGGGCACCCACTCCACAGCCACATTGTTGCTCCCAGTAAACTAATATCATGGAACAGTTTCCTCTTTAGAGCAACTAGATGAAACACTACCAGCAATACAAATAAAACTCTGGTGATCACAGGAGGGAGTCAGGATGAACGTCAAAACTGCCAAACATCTCCCTGCAGGCACAGTGCGTGACTGGCCAACATGGAGAAGTTTAAACCGCCTCTGAACACAGGATAGTAAGACTAGAATTAACATGCAACAACACAACCACCATGTATCAAAGTGAAGGAAACTATCAGAACATAGTAATCTACAGGTCTGCCCATGTATGGGAGAACCATGCACCAACGAGGACCCCACTAAGGCTACAGATAGGGAAATAGTATGTGCCTGCTTCTGGCCTTGAAATTGAACATGGTGACAGGATATGAAAAGATCACAGAATTAAAACTGCTTATAAGACTGAACTCAGCTTTACTGGTATTTTCTACCCATTATGCTTACCAGCTGTGTCAGAACCTTGACATCAAAGGCTTGAATACTGGGTTGACTATTTCCCCTTGACTTTTTCTGAGAGAAGAAAAAAAATGATACATGAAACAGATGGAACATTTATTCAAATATACTACAGCAGTATTCTTTGTGGCCATCATCCCTATGATGTCAGTGTCTTTTATACTGTAGGTTTAAATAATGTTTCTCAATCAGGTTGCAACAGCACCCAGTGGTGCCATGGGACCCTTAAGGATGATGTAGGATGCTGCATAATATTAGCATTATTTAGTGTGGAAACCTGTACCCATAACTGACAAGATTAACCCAAATATTTAAAATAGAACTGCAGTGTCAAAAAGAATCTAGCCTGTTGTAGTTTTTTGAGTTTTTTTGCAACAGAAGGACTGCTCTATTATTTTCCTTTAATCAAAAAACAAGTAAAAGCTATGGAACTCCTTGGAAAGTGTAAGGTCTTGAGTCTATCAAGGTTGAGAACCACTGTTTTAGAAAGCGATATGTAAAAAGACCATAAGGTCATGTTTTAACAAAGTATGTTAAGAGTTATTTGTTTGTTTTTTCCCCCTGGGGAGAAGGGGAGCGAGCAACAAAATAGCAGATTTGATACTAAAACAAACTGTCAAGTTTTCTCCCCTTCTCTTAGAAGCATCTTACATGGGCTTCTTTATTTCAATAGAGTACAACAAAAATAAATGGCAATTTAAAAACAAAACCAGAAAACCCTATAATATTCAGAATAGTTCTTACAGGATAATTCTTCCCCCTAACACGTTCTATTTCTTCTCACTGCTAAGGACAACACTTTCTTTTATATATGGAACATGTCAGTAAAAAACAAAATGTTCTAAGGAAGACCTTCCCCCCAAATTTACCATGCAAAAATGTTTCATATTTATAGCCAACCTGTAATTCATTTACACAGCACTCACTTGTCCTTCCAATAACTCTGCATCCTCTTCTTTAATTTGCCCATTAATCAGAAAAACACCTTCCTCTATCTGTTTTGCCCACCGAGTTAACCCATTCTTTAAAAAACAAGAGCATAAAAAGTTTTTTCAGTATACATTTTGGGAAGACAACTACAGTAAAAGCAAAGAAGACTGTTTAGTGTTGCCAAATTCCAAGACTTAAAATGCCTGAAGAACATCTTTACCAGTCTTCAGACCTGCAAGTCACATTTTGTACAATAATAGACAACACACTAATAAGCCTCAAGTCACATTTCCTAAACAGTTCTGGCTTTATAAATGAAATTATTATCACCAAATAAAAAGTTATTTTTATAAGCATCTACATAGTGATAAGACATTTGAATTTTGTTTTTTTCCTCTATTTACTAGGAATAGAACGTATTAGTAATGTAGATGGGACAAGAACAACCCATTGGCAAATTCTACCCAAAATCTGATTTTGCATTAGGAGGAAGTAAATCAAAAATTTACAAGACAGTAAATCCTCTTAGTTAACATTAAGTGCTCAAAGAAATTATTTCACTCTAAACAGAGTGAAAGGAAACATTCACAGAAAAAAGAAGCCAATGAAATAGAAAAGAAGATAACAGATTTGAGTATTCTTCTTCTTTTCTTATACTTAATGTAAATGATTATTTCTTAATAAAAACCTAACTGTTTTACTGAGTAAAATATTCTATCAGAAACTACTTCTATTCCCTTACCTACATCAGAATTTTAAAATAAAGTACTCATCATTTAATTTTAAGCAGTAAAAAATGATACACAGAATAACTAAAAGAAACAAATAAAAATTGTATATTATTGGTCAGTTACCCTTGTATTTTTCTCTAATTCATGGTTAGCTGATGTTGCAGGAAGTGGAATATGGATATTAACATTAACTGTGCAGTTCAAAGATAGCCAGAAAGCAGAAACATCACTTTGGTATTTCCAATCTGCTGGTTTAGCTGAACTCTATAAGAGGAGGAAAAAAACCACCACACGCAGGAGTATGTACTTAAAGTGAAAACAGAATGACTAGAAAAAATGTATTTCTATTAAATAAAACAGGTCTTATTCAGAATATTACACAGTACTCAAACCTTACCTTTGCATCTTGTACATCATAGGTTCGACAAACTAGTCTTTATTACTTAAGAAAATATAAAAGCATGTTTCACTGCATTTAAGAAACATGTATGTAAAAACAAATATCTGAACCAACTTGTAATTGGTGTACCTTCCACATAAAGCTAAGTTTGTAATACTGGACAATGCTCTGACACTCTATTGATGAGAATGAAGAAAAACTCAGCTGCAAACTAGAGATGTTCCAGCTTGTTAAATATATATCATATGATTAGTACTGATTATGATTCTGTACTGAAGGACAGGGCTGATACTTCTTATACTTCTGCACAACCTTGCTGTCTCTTTAGACCTCCTACAGGAAACTTAAAGAGAATGACTGTGAGGTATGTGTTCAACCCAGCCTCCACCTTCCCTCAATATTCCCCACCTGTAAAACCCTTTATTTTCTCATTGGCCTACAGCATACTTGACACTCACTCTGCTGCTTCCCAAACAATCAATTTTAAAAACTTTTTCCTCCAATTGCAAAATCACCTGTTTTTCAGAATCCCACTCTTATTTTAAACAAAAACATGAACTGTAACACCTAAATCTGAATGGTGGACTATAAGCATGGCAAGGAGCAACATCGGGCATAGAACGCAATGAAAAAAGAGGCTCTTTGTTCTAGCAATCAGCATGCAATTTATCAGATTGGAATGCTTGTCCCTTCTGAGTCCACCTGGCCCCTCCCCAAGGTCTCTTCCAGCTGAAGACCCACTTTTCCATTCATCTCTTATTCCAGTACTCATATAAGCTCAATCTACTCAAACAACAACAGTCTCACACTCTGGCTTCCAGAGCCATGTCAACAAACCGCTGCTGAAGGAGGGCTCTCCAGCCTGCAAGGAGCTCTGCAGTCCACACCTGGCCGATGGAAACCAAATAATTTGAACACCCTTGCTCTAGGTCAAGGGCTTCACACATGTACTATTAAAGGATACTTTTTTGTAGTAGAGCAAACTTGAAGAGCCACTCTGTCCAGGACCTCCTCCCCAGCAAAATTCCAGAGCCTCTTTTTAGTCACAGACTTCTGTACTGAAAAAACTAGCTAGGAGGGGAAAAAAAAAAAAAAGAGGTTATAAGATTTTTCTATGCATTTCAGACAAAGGAGTTAAGGCAAGTAGTTGTATTGCTGAAAACAGCCCTGCACTGCCATATATATCTTTTTCACTATGTGCAACCTGTCAGTTGCACCAACATATAACATTCATTGTTCAGGGTCTTGTCAAATGTCAGCTTGTATTGCTAAGTCTGAAAATTATCTACACTTTGATGATTTTAAAATCATCCCAGACAATCACGACTTCAGTGACATATCACTCATGACAGACTCAGATGCCAAGTATGAGGTGAAAAAATGCTTCAGATACAGATTCCAGCCTGTACCGAAAGTTTCCAAGGTATAATGTAAATGAGCATAACTCAGGTCATCTGTCTTTAAAATCCTGTTGATTCATATTCATTTGCTGACAGCCCTGCTGCTTTTAAAATCCATTATGGATTTGTTTGATTCTGCTTCACTCTCTTCACCTCCCTCATTCAAGTCTCTCCATACAGCATGGTCTCCTTAACACTGTGCAGGCAGCCTTATGGCATCTCTCTCCATATCACTTTTTCAAGATCACAGCAGAAAACATAGCTATTACTTACAAGTCCTTCAACATCTACTATTAGGAACATATTTGGTACATTTGTAAGTTACCTTACAAAATATTATGCATTTGGGGCAGAGATGAAAGGCCTGATGTTATATTAACACTGTCCCTGGCCACTTGTCTGCCGAAGTTATCTACAAAAATGTCCTAATATGGAGCAATAAGGATGTTGCTTCCAATGACATACTGGTTATTACAGATGGGGTTGGCAGTGCCAGCAATTAATCTAATACTCCTTTTATGCAATTCTCTTTTTGGTTGCTTATGACTTTTGTCAAACTTTAACCATTTGGGATGAAGTTACACTCTGGATGTTTGATTTTTTAAATCTTTCAAGCAACACAGTTCAAGTTCAGCTATTTCCAAGAATATTAGAGAAAAATATGCTAGTTTGTTCATGTCAGTTTTCTAGCAATTTTTCTCTAATACACTCTAGTGCAACATACTTTGAAGCATAGACCTGAACCATGACAGAAGATTCCCTTATGTCTCAGTACCTTTTGAAATTACTGTGAAAAATATGACTAAATCTGGTCAATATTAAGTTCTTGGAATGAGAGAGTAAACTACAGTTTGCACATGCTCAGTGTCCTCGCATCTTAAAACTGTCAAGCTTAAAGCTGAGCAGGACTTTCCATTCATTTGCAATGCTAAACTGCTTCTATAGGTTGCTTCAGCACAAGGCACTGCAACTGAAAGTAAGGCTCCTGGCACTTCATTTAATGGCGTGATGGGATCTGTTTCCTGACCTCAACAATCACACCTCCTGCTATATGACATATAAATGGCAGGATGCACATTTTTTGGATGGGGGGAAAAATCCAAACCAAATTGTGCCACTACTATTGGCCAGGGCAGGGAGAATCCAGGTTTCACCTGCACCCGCAGGTTGAAACCAAAGTGCCCAGTGAAGCAGTGTGGTCCCAGGACTAGGACTGCCAATCAGCTGATTAATCTGGCTCAGCCCCAGGATCCCACCAGAGCCAGCTGGAGACTCAGGTGTTGTTCCAAGCTGATTGTGTGTCTCTGCCCAGAAACTGCATTCCAAAAGGCTGCCAGAGCCCGTGCACAGGGATATCAGAAAAACTTGGTGAGTCCTGGCACAGGTTCTAAGGTCCAGAAAAGGTTCATAAATTCACCACAGATATCTGAAAACTGTACATGCAGCTGGGCTGCATGCATGGTTTTTAAAGATCCCAGTGCACGGGGTTCCTGAGATCAGAGAACCACTCCCCATTCCAGGGTCCCCATGGCTGGGGTGTGTCAAGTGCCTTGCTTTGCAACTCCCTGGGAACTACAGGGCAAGGCAATCAACTTGCCAAGTCATGGGGAGCTCTGTGGCTCCCACATCCCAGGACTTCTTGTCCAGTTGAGCTTCCCTGACTCAACACGCCGAAAACAATGAGGTGTACCACATAGATGTCAGCCTGATGATATGTGGGAAGCAATCAACCACACTCTACCATGCAGCTGGAATCATGCTACATGGAAAGGATCCTGCCACACATCCAATTTAAGAAGCAAAGGAAACCAGCCACAAGATTACTACATGTATTTTGTGGAATAATTTTGTGGCTTGTTTCTTTGTTTTGCAGCATAATCAGCTGCCTAAATGTATGGCTAGTTACTTTTAAGACAATTAATGGATTAATTTTGCCTTAAATATCATGTCTTCCAGGCTCCCAAGAGATCCAGTTTCTCCTGTGTTCTCAGTAAAGTCCTCTGCTGGCTTGCAAGGAACAGAGCAGCATTTCCCATACTTTCCATACTTTGGGGCACACTTTTTTTCTGGATTAGAACTGGCAACCATCTCACTTCATTTTTACATTTGAAAAGAGGATGTGTACATGTGTATGTATGCAGTGTATGGTACACAAGCCTTACGCAATTTTTTTGGCCCTGCAGGATGGATAAGCAGTGCCAGGTCACTGTGGGCTGGATGGGTCTGGTCCATGGGGCTGATACCACTGCACAGGGCCTAGAAGCGTGGCAGCAGGAGAATGGTAGCAGTGTTAATTGCCACCGCTTTTCTCCCTGCCATATTTCCAGACCTGTATAATTTTTCTCAGCATACTTCTACTGCTCTTGTGGCACACTAATATGCTGCAGCACACCCTTTGTAAATCAATCAGAGAGGAAGCTTTCCAATTCAAACACAGAAGAAGCAAGAGTCTCTTGAAAAATAGAGGAGAATGGGCCACACAGCTACGCTGAGTCAGCACTGAAAGCCAAGAGCTGAGGTGGGGACTCTTTGGACAAGGCGGCAGGGAACCAGAGGATCTCAAGACTCAGCTTAAGGTCAAGAAAACATTACAGGCTTAGGCTTTAGAAGAAATATGCGAAAGGGAAGGAGGACAGCAGTCAGTTATGACTGGGGAAGGCCACAGCAGGGGCAACCAGAAAAAAATTGTGCCCACAATTACTGAGCTTCACCATTCCTGGGCTGTCACCATATCTCTATAAAACCCACTGTGTTTACTCCCCCAACCACCGCTATCATTTACAGTGTTAATTCAAGAGACAGAGGTCTGTGGTGATTCTGAACATCCCAGCCATGCTGATGACCCATGAGTTCAGCTACAGTTGCCTCTGGAACAGCCTTACTGGCTTAAATCTGGGTTTAGACCATGGGTGAGTGGGCCATGCTCATGAATGTCCTAGACATGGCAAACTGCTGCTGCAGTGTAGACATCCCCTCAGAGCAAAGAATGGATAGTGCTAACTTAAAATTATTCAATATTTTGTTTTGTTCTCATTTTCCAATGTATGACAATATGCTTTTTTTTTTTTTTTTTTTTAAATACAGGTAGTTCTCGACTTGCAACGTTTTGAGTTACAACATTTTATACTTACAACAGTTATAAATTGACATCGTATTTCAACTTTCTGAAGTCAGGTTCGACTTTACAAAGCTTGAACCAACACCACGCCAGGTCAGCAAACAAGTTCACTGCATCACCCATCTCCCTGGAGAACATATGTCCAAACTTCCTTGGACACTTTCTTTAAGAAAGCAGACAAGACTCCAGAAAAACCTGCAGCCAAGACTCCCTGAGAAGACTCCAGCCAAGAACCCTTCAAAAAGTCCAGCAAAGTCACCTTCCAAATCAATATGATTTCTATTTACAATATAAATATATTAATGTAGCTATGTGACTCATCTATAATTGACTGAGTACAAAATTCCTGGTTCTTTTTGGTGAAAATAGGGTATTGGGCCTCGGTTCAGGAACTAATCCCCCATTATAACATCATTTCCTATAGGAAAGCCAGTTCAGAGTTACAACGTTTCAACTTAAGATGTAGTTTTCAGGAACCAATTATGTCGTAAGTCCGAGGACTGCCTGTACAACAGCAGCATACCGTTCAAATCCAGAGCCGAAGAATCAATTTGTATTTATTCTTAGGAGCTTTTCTGTATTTTACATTGCATGGATGGAGAATCAAGGGACAGAGCTATTAAAGTGACATATCAACTAATTTTGGGTGCCTAATTGTTCAGGAGTACTTAGTATTAAGTAGTACTTCATGTGCTTAAGACAGTTCCCCACAGATTTCAGTTGCAGTTTTGAGCGCTGAACATTTCTATAGAAGGCCTCAGGTCTGTCCACCAGAAAGAGAAACAGTTTAGTTTCAAAATTTGTTCTGCAGAATTTTAAATGGCTTACCTAGAATAACAGAAATTCTGGGACAGGTGCAGGGGTAGAATCCAACTCTATAGAGCAGCATTCAACCGCCTTAGCCATGAGACCATGCCTTTTTCTTCCTTCATAACCCTGCCTCATTCACTTCTAATCTGTGCAACAAATAAAATAGAAATCATGTCCACAAGCTCCTTGACCAGGCAACCTCAACTTGTCTCCAGAACAGGTCCATCTAGAGCACTGAATGATACAGGAGTCCCATGGGGCAGGGGAAGGAAAGGGAAGGAAACAGTATTCAGAGGTAATGTAACCGTAAGGCGCAGGCACCAAGCTCAATTCAGATTGCACAGATAACTAGTTCTGACCTTTCTAACTTCTAAGCAATTGATTTTGTTTTCAAGAATGCTGACTTTTTGCTTATAACGTTACACACATGAAAGAGGCACATAATCTGTACCCATATATTTAGATACAAATTTTAATTCATGAGCTATTCTGTGCTGAAAGTACAACCTAAAACTGAAATCTGGATTTCAACCTATAGGCGCAGAGTTAATCCTTACCAATAATCAATTGCAATAACATCTATCTCCCAATCAATAGAAGACTGTTCAATCCATTTATAAAAATGGTGACGCTGTAACACAATACATCAACTCCCTCATATGATCACTAAAGCACTTCATGCAGAAGGTACGGCAGACTGGCACCTTAGAGAACTATCATAGCAGCTAACAAGGTAGGCTGTTGTCTATGAAAGTACATGCCTCTCTAAACTCTCTAAGGATGCCTGGATACAAGCGTGGAGGCTGCACTGTAGTTACAGTGCGTCAGAGCAGACTTGATTAACTGAGTCTGCTGGAGCATGGCAATTACCACGCTCCAGCAGCCTCCCATGTCTCGTGCATCAGCGTCCCTGAGCTTCAAAATGGTGACAGGGGTGTTTTAACTTAAGCTCGTCGAACAAGCTTTAGTTCAAGCACCACTGCCACCATTTTGAAGTACAGGGATGCTGACATGAGATGCTGCAGTGCTTTAAATAGAGTGGCTCTAAAAGCACCATCCCTAACCCCCAGAGCATGTGTAAAAGTGCCCTAAGGTGTCAGACAGAAGGTAAGGAAGAGTGGCTTCAGACTAGAATAGCTAACTACCTCTAATGAACACCTCACCTGTAAAGATTAATATATTCTAATGATAAATAATAATGTAATATAATCCCCAAGTATAAAAACAAATACAAATTGCCACACTTAATGAATAGGCATTAGTTTCAATTTACAGGCATTCATAATTGATAAACTAGATCTAAGAGCATAAGATTCCTGTTTTTGCATTAAATAGGGGTTATTTTTGTTTTCTGTTTGTAAGAGCATATCGAGTGTATCCAGGACCAAAACAAAGCTATTCTGTTGCATAACAACAATAACTAAATATTATATATATAATTATATATATAATACCAACACTCCTTGCCCCCCTTGCCTCCCATAGCTCTTTCTTGGTGACACTATCTAGCCACTTACCTTGCGCAAAGCATTTTGGGTGTCCTTTGCCAGCTCTGGAGTTGCAATAATAAATACCCCAAGAACTAACAATCCTCCTGGGAGCATTCTAGACACCTTACAAAATAAATAGAAATGCAAGATTATCATCACACTTTTATGAACTTAAAGAAATATTTCTCTGATTTATTATGCTAAATCTTTTCTTTTGGGGGGGGGGGCGGCGGCAATGGAAGGCAGAGAATAGAAACAAGTATTCAAACATAAGTGTAGCTTAAACTGCAAGAACGAAGCTAGTTTAACCGTTAAACTTCCCATACACTGTTCTCCCACTTTATTTTATTTCAGGCAAATTTCTGGGCTGAAAATCCATAAGCTATATGGCTTCAAAGAAAAAACTGGAAATGTATTTTAATTTTATTCAGAATAATTAGAATTTTGGATTGACATCTACAATTGGCAGTTCATAAGGAACTGTGTTCATACAAAGAAATAGGGTATAAAATTATGAAAAAAGAAAAAGACTATTTCCTTTCACACTTATTTAAAATTATGAAATTGTGCTACCTGACTAGCATGTGTTGTCACCCATTCTTCATCAATATCAGTCAATTTTGTAGGACAGTAGGTTTCATTTTGTTCTTCTTTTGGAGGTGTTCTAACAGCCAAAATCACATAATCTCTTTGTGGGGAGCACTTTAAAGACAGAGAAATGGAGAAAAAAAAACAAAATGAGGTTGACATTAAGATATAAATGTTGTCTAGTGTATATAGTTCATATATATAATGCTTTATTAAAAATGCATTATTTTTCTCCTTTTGCCTATAACTATTCAAATTTGTCTTCATATATATATATATATATAAAGACAAGCAGGTTACAGCATATGCAGGAGGTGGGAGCCATACAAATGTTTCAAATTACATACAACTTTACATTCCAGCAAACATACAAAACTTCCAGCTTTAACCCTGGTTGAAGCAGACAGAATTAGGACCCAATATATGTTCCCCCATGAATTAGCCAAAATGCTTAATTCAGTTTAAGCAGTATATTTGGCTCCAAAAACATTTCACTGATTTTTTAACCTATATTGCATAACCCCCTGTGACAGGTCATCCCCAGGAAGCAGAATAAATTTGCATGTGCAAAACATTCTTTAGCAGAGCTCAAAGCTCCTAGCCAGGGTCAACCAGTACAGCTGGAGAAGGCTCTGCATCCCCTAAGGGCTGTGGTTGGGACTGGTTAACAGGACCTGGGAGTACCTGCAGAGTGAGGGCTTAAGGAAGATCCAGGGAGAAAACTGTACTGGGCCTTCTCAGGGACTGATTAGGGGGTTGTGAAAGGCATTCCGTATAAGGCAATCTACAACAAGCAAACTTGCCAAAAATCAACTTTCAAAAGCTGCAGCCAGAGTAGCTGAGACTCCAGATGTGGTAAAAATATGTTATAATCTAGTCATTATGATTTTGCAATAACGTTTGTGTAGCAGCTGTGTGGTAAAAATGTCTCATCTCCCTACACAAAGGCTTCACAACTGAGAACTGTTTAGTTTCACTACATAATTGCTTCTGCATATTATCACACTTGCTTCTGCTAAGGTATGTAGGCCAATGATAGATTTACGAGTAGCACTAGAATTTTGCAGACATAGCCAGGAACAGATGCAACAAATAACTCCTTACGAGAGATAAGAGAAGAGGGACAGGGAAAGATGCTGATGTGAAGAACTCAGACCTTGACCAAAGAATGACCGAAATGGACTTAAGGACGGCCCCAGGGAGGAGATTTAAGATGTAAATGAGACACGTATGTAAACCATCATAGAACATGTACCTGCTAGACATATGTTGTAAGACGTAATACTTGGGCTACCAATAATTACGCGACACGTTAAAATCTTTTGTTTATGTTAGCTATAAAAAGGAACCCCAGACTCTGTTTGGAGTCGACACGGATTTGAGTAAATTAAGCTCCCTTGTCGAACTTGTTTGCAAACAATAAATCTGAACTTGGACCCAGCCTGTGTGTGACTCTCTCCTAGGGGTTGTAGTGCGCAGGTTTGTTATTACCCTGAAATAGAATAATTTTCTGATAAACTTGCAAGATGACAAACAAACATCCAGAGCAACTGAAACTCCTGCACAGTAAATTGCAAACAGAGCAGCAATGGCTGCAGCCAGGACCCAGGCCCTAGAGGGAAAAAGAAAACTCTGCATTCTTCTACAATCCAGCCTTGGATTAGGTTTCTGATCCATTAGTTGCAAGTGGCTCAGTGGCGACTTCTTGCAGCCACTGTCTTGCAATCAGATGGAAAGGACAAGCTCCAGGGATGTGCTGCAACAGTGGCAAGGTTCAACTGCCCCAAATGAATGATCCTCCTGAGCCCCTTTCATACATTGTTGACAGGCAACACTCCAGATGCACGTCATTTCCAAAGCAACATTTGAAGCTACACCTCATGCTTCCAAATGACATCTTTTGGCACCACAAAAGACATCAGAGAATACGGCTACATGCCCACATTTAAAGAGCAGGACCAGGTTTTTATCATCGGCTTGGCAGTCTGATGCCACTCCCAGATGAAGAGCCCAAATTCCTGCAGATCTACTTCACGGGTGACAATACAAAGCAGGATGAACAGTGTTGCAACAATGTCATTCAAACCAACCTGTAGGTGGTGTTGCACTTACAAGACATGCTCCACAAGGAAAACAACTCTGTTCACAGTTTCAAGTGTGCCATGCAGAAGATGACTCTATAGCATCACGTTGTCATTCATGCAGACAAAACTCCAGCTGGCGAGCCCGAGCGGCACTTCAGTGCACCCACAACATCAGAAGTGGTTGTCATTCTGGCTGGTGAACAACATGGCAATTGAGACATTGTGTTGCAACTCAGGAACAACTCCCTCCAGAGTACTGCTGAGACACCAATCGTGACGCACTTCAGTATCCACGAATTTTCTGGCAAGGTAATGATGGCTACCATTTTGAACTGCGACAAACAAACCCAGCAACGGGGTTGCCAACTCAAAAGAAGATTTCTGCCATGGACTTTTATCCCTACAGGATGATGCTGCAAACTAGAAGTTTCAATCACATCTTGTGATGCAAAGATCTCTTCCACCAATTTGCTGTGGACGTGTATGCCAAAATTGAAGCAGAAAGGTTGAGATTCATTTGAATGAACCGAAAGAAACTCAGAGCTGAAAACTATGTTCACCTCAGGGATGCCATGAACAATGAAGGAGATGCTGCCAATATTGGCCAATTGGTCATCTTGCCTTCCAGTTTCACCAGGTGGGCCTCGCTACATGCATGAGCGCACTCAAGATGCCATGACATATGTGCGAAACTATGGCTGCCCTGATCTTTTCATTACCTTCACCTGCAACCCAGCTTTGGCAGAAGTGGCTAATGAACTGATGCCAGGCCAAAAACCACAGGATCATCATGATTTGCTGGCAAGAGTATTTCAACAAAAAGTGAAGGCATTAATGAATCTCATCAACAAGGGAAAGATTTTTGGAGTCACTCAGTGCTACATGTACACAATTGAGTGGCAAAAACATGGCCTGCCACATGCCCACATTCTGCTGTAATGATATATGAGATTTTGAGAGAGACCAACTACTACATTGACCAGCTTACTAAATACATACAAGATAATAATCCAAGTCTGGTCCCAGACCAAAGAGAAGCCTTCAACAAGATTACTCAAGCAGTTTTCAATGCGAGTGGTGGCATCTTCTTTCTGGCCACAAAGCTTCATACATTTGGAAAAACATTCAGCAACTCGGCCTCATGACCAACATGCTACTGCATCTAACAGGTGATGCATCTGATGGAGAGTTTGCTGCAAGCCTGCTCGAACTGGGAAGTGGGGCCATCGTATATGAGAATCAGGATGGAACTATCTCAATGAACAACACTGGAAAAACATTTGCAACACTTCAAGAACTGAAAGCGGCAGTTTTTCCAAAAGTTGCACATCACTTTCATGACCGCAAGTGGCTATGCCAAAGAGCCATCTGGGCACCAAAAAAAATGATGCAGTCAATATGATAAACAAAGACCTTCTTTCTCAATTGCCAGGCACTGTGCAAAAATAGAAATCAGTGGACACTGTCCCAGACACCAATGAGGCAATCAACTATCCAACAGAATTTCTCAACTCTCTCGAACCACCAGGTATGCCTTCACACAATCTGGAGCTCAGGATTGGTGCACCCATCATTCTTCTCAGGAATCTGGACCCACCAGCACTCTGCAATGGAACACGATTGGCTGTTAAGAAGCTTATGCCACATGTCACTGAAGCCACCATCATGACTGGCCATGCAGCAGGACAGGATGTCTTCATTCCATGCATTCTAATCATTCCCTGTGACCTGCCATTTCAATTTAAAGGGCTCCAGTTCACGATCCGCCTCAGTTTCGCTATGAGCATCAACAAGGCACAGGGACAATCACTCAAAGTTGGCCTCAACCTGCAAAGCCCATGCTTTTCTCATGGTCAAATCTATGTTGGTTGTTCCAGAGTTGGCAATGGCAGAAACCTTTTTCATCTTGGCGGCAGATGGTAAAACATGCAACATTGTCTATCCTGAAGCTCTACATGAATAAAAAAAGTGTCAAACACCGTCATAAACTGGGATAGAAAAATGTGATGTGAAATCCTCAGTGCTATGCCACAGTCTTACAATGCAAACAAATAATTCTACCTGACAATTCAGTTTAATACATTTAAATGTTCAACTTTTATAGGTTTTTGGTATGACCAAGAGCTCACAATGTCAAGCTGTATCACACAAGTAACATAGGGTACAAAACTAAACACATATACAAGCTTATTAGTAGAGGGAAATAAGAAAGAATTAAAATATGTTATTTATAAAACATTAAAATTTGATTACTGCAACCCATGCAAAGCTGGGTACTTTGGCTAGTGTATACTATAATACAGAGGTGGGCATTCTAGGTGGGTCCCCTAAATAATTTAGAAAATTAATTATTTGCCCGTGGCAGCCTGTCAAAGATAATGTGGTGCCAGCAGCAGCAGGACCCAGGAGGAGCCAGGAAAAGGACCCAGTGGCAGAGCAACAAGGCCTGGCAGGACCCACCCCACCCCCAGCCTCCCCTACCCTCAGCCTCCAACTGGAAGGTTCTGTGGCTTCTGGCCTGGTAACCCTTTGGCTAGTCCACAGCCCTCCCTCCATCTGAGTGGAAACTCAAATAAGATCAGAAGGAGGGAGGGGGAAAAACTGCCATGATCAGCCCACATTGTGGGACCCAGGCCAGGCTGGACCCGTGCCACACCACATGGCATGGAGTTGGCGGGACCCATGCTGGGGGGGGACACAAACAAACTGCTGCAATCAGCCCATGCCACAGGGGCCACACTGGGCAGGGCTGGTTCCATGCCATGCTGTGCAGTCCCAGTCATGTGGCCAGGATCTGCATGGTGCTGGCTGGAGTTGGAGCAAGGTAAAGCCATTGGAGGGGTGGGGGAGGGGCAGAAAGCAGTGGTGGGTGGGGGGGTGGCAGGGGGGAAGCAGAGGCAGCAATGGCGGATGGTCATGCAGGAGGGAAAAGTAGGGAAGCAGCAGGGAAGAGCAGAAGCAGCAGTGGGGGAAGTGGCAGGGGAGTAGCGGCAGTGGCAGGCAGGAGCACGAGACCTGCACCGGTGCTCTGGGGCCAGTGGGGACCCAGGGTAGAGCAGAGGGAGTGCGGAACCTGGGTGCATGGTCTGCCTGGTTCCATCACACAAAGCCTGCATGCAGTCCACCTGAACCATGTGTCTGGGGAGAATCCCACACAATGGACCTGGCAGCCCGGCCCCACTCACTGCTACGCACAAGTCATGGGGAATAGCAGGGATCTCCGCGCTACGTGGTCCCAATTTTCAAGAAAGGGAGGAAGGAGGACCCAAGTAACTATAGGCCTGTAAGCCTCACCTCGGTGCTCGGGAAGATCTTGGAGAGAATCATCAAGGAGCACATCTGTGGGGGGCCTGCAGGGGAGATCATGCTCAGGGGCAATCAGCATGGGTTCATCAAAGGCAGGTCCTGCCTAACCAACCTGATTGC